TCGGGCCGCGGGCCTGGCCTCAAAGATGGGCTACATGTGGTGTCCCCCAATCTCCGACGGAACTCCGGGCGGATGAGAGACCACGACAAAGCCAGGCGACAGAACTCGGTTCTGTTGGCTCGGCTTCACTGAGCACCCGCGAAGTCCGGTTCTCTGGTGACCACCCAAGACCTCAAATCCAACATGCCGGGTGAGGTTCAGAAACCACTGAGTCTGGGGACTTCCCGCGACACAGTTCCCATCTCTCCTGCTTTTCCCCTCCCCCAGCTCCCAGGCCTTAGGGATCCAATATCGTCCTCCGTGCGGGCGGGGCGTTGGGGACTTCTCCCAAGCGGCCTTCGGGAATCCGAGTCTTTGCTACCACCTGAGCCCACCCAGTTCCGGACAGACGGCGCCCTAGAAGCTGGAGGCGCTAGCGAAGTGGACCCAGCGGGAAGACCGGTCCGCACTCGCGGAGCGCCTTCCCATCCCGGAGGCCCGCGTGCGCTCTGGGTGTGTCGGTGTGTTCCTGTCTAGGTTCCCGAGTGTGTCTGTGTGTGCCTGTTGGATTTTTTTGTTCTCCGTGCGCCCCAGCTTTTCTCATTTCTTGGGCCCCACGGACAGTGGCAAGAGTCTCAGAGTGGGCAGGGGGCGTTACACCTGTGGACTCCGCTCGCCGGCCCTTTCCTCACAGGCACCCCAGGCAGCCATTCACAGACTCACACCTTTTTTTCTGGACAGCGGTCCGGGGCTCAACTCCCCGGATTCCTGTTCCTAAGCCCAACTGGGGACTAGGGACCAGGGCCGAAGCCGCCGCTCAGACCAGCGTGGGTCAGAGCCAAAAGCTCCTCGGAAATCTACTCGTGCCAGCTCCCCTGGTATACAGAAGGAAGCAGGCAGGGGGATTCCAAATTGGGTTCGAGGTGACAAGTGGAGCCCGGGCTACAGCCACCGCCTGGTTGGCCCGATGACCGCCCCACTCCTCTCTTCCTTTACTCCCCGAAGCCTTTTATCGCCCTGCAATGGGCCATGCTGGGTCCCCACCTTGGGGCCCCCAACCCGGAGAGACCCACAGGCAGCTCCCCCGGCAGCTCTGGGACTGGGGGTTCAATGCTTGGGTGGGAGTGGTTATGAGAGACCGCGACCTCCTCCCCTTTCCGCGGCCGTCTCCCACCCCCAAACTCCCCCCACCCCCCACCCCCGCAGCCTGCCTTCCGGATCTCAGACTTTAACCCTCCCGGAGCCGGGGTTGCGAGGCGGCGCGGTCCATTCACGTCCCGCGCGTCCTCGGACCGCAGCTTCCGGGCGCCAGAGGGACCCCGCGGTCCACTCGCCGCTGTCCTCAGCTCCGTGCGGCGAGGCCTGGCGGGCTTCCCAGCCCCGCGGGTCTCAATACCTACGAAAGGCGCCGAAACCCGCAGCAGCTCTCGGCCGGGAGGGCAGGGGGGCATAAAACCCGGAGGGGGAACCGCGGCTCACACGGACCTCGAGGTTCTCCAGGCGGGTTTTGAGAGACTGCAAAGTTTGCCCGAGTTGGCTAAGCGTCTCCGCGGCCGGCGTCCGGGACAGGTCGCCCATGGTGTTCTTGCCCGAGCCGGGCTGCTTGCGGCCGCCGCCCGCCCTGGCCTCGCCGGGACCGGAGTCCAGTGTGCTCTGACTCTCGCAGCGGCCCAGCTTGGTGGTCAGTTCGCGGATGGTCTCCTTCTGGCTAAGGATAGTCTCCTTCTGCTGCAGCACGGTCTCGCGAAGCTGCAGCACATTGCTCCGGAGCTCCTCCGCGCCGCCAGCGGCCACGGACGCGGCGCACATGTCGGCGTCCACCGGCACCGAGGTGCAGATGAAGCGCGTCGGCCCAAAATCCTGGGCCCCACTGCCCAGGAGGCAAAGAGCGAGCAGCGCACAGGTGCGCGCGGCGCGGCCAGCCAGCATGGCTGCGGGCACCTGGAGAGCCGGACCCGTTTCGGCTCGGGTGGGGCTCGGCTCCGGCTGGGACCGGGCTCGGGCTGTCGCTCCTCTGGCGGCCCGCGCTCTGGGAGCCGAGTTCCTTGGCCGCACGGTCCACACCGCCGCGCTCTCCGGCCCCCACTGCCGCCTGCGCTGCGGAGCTCGCGCCTTTTATGCTGCCGCGGGAGGGGCCTCGGCGCAGCCGACGTCAGCGGGGGAGG